ATTTGAAACTGAGCAAAACCACCAGAGAACACTGATTCAATTTAGAAGCAAGGTGTGAAATTTGCTGTAATTACCTTATAGCCCTCTGCTCCAGGCTCTCCTCTCTCTCCTTGTTCCCCCACAGGACCCTACAGAGACCACATGCAAAAACAATCAGTTCCACAGCTGGATCCAAGTATTTGTGAATGCAGATAATACAGTTAGTGTGGCATATTTTTTCCCCCAAAAATGTGAAACCAAATGTATAATTATTTGTTTAGTTCCACTAATATATCTCAAAAGACTGAATATCAATAACATTAAGAACATCATAAGCATTGAATTATTTGAAGAGAATCTCAAAATGATCTTGCTAGGAAAAATATTGAAGAAATGAAGTCCACTTAAACATTATGAATTTTCAGATGGATGAAGTATGTTATACATGATGTCAAATTAACTTGCATTTTTACTTAATGTTAAAATGATAGAAAAAGATTTAATCTGGATCATTCAGCCATGTAATCATTCCATTAATTAGAAGATCAATTTAATCATCTTTTTATTTATTTATTTTTATATTGTGAAGTACAGTTGGCATACAATATTATAATAGTTTCAGGCATACAACATAATGGTTTGACATTTATACACATTATGAAATGATCACCAGAATAAGTCTGGTCACCATCTGTCAGTATATGTAGTTATTATAATACTATTGACTATATTCGCTATGCTGTACTTCACATCCCCATGACTTACGTATTTTATAACTGAAAGTCTATAACTCTTAATCCCCTTCACCTATTTCACCCATCTCCTTATACCCTCCCCTCTGGCAATCACCAGTTTGTTCTGTGTACTTATGAATCTGTTTCTGTTTTGTGTTGTTTTGTTTTTTGGACTCCACATGTAAGTAAAATAATACACAATTTGTTCCTCTCTTATTTCACATAGCATAATGCCCTCTAGGTTCATTTTTGTTGTCATGAATGGCAAGAATTCACTCTTTTTATGGCTAAGTAATATTACATTTTGTGTGTATGTATATATATACATCTTCTTTATCCATTTGTGTATCAGTGAACACTTAGGTTGTTTCCATATCATGGCTATTGTAAACAATGCTGCAATGAACATACATACAATGAAGATACAGGTGTATGTATCTTTTCATATTATGTTTTTCAACTTTTTTTTCAGATAAATACCCAGATGTCAAATAGCTGGATCCTGTGGTATCTCTATTTTTAATTTTTTGAGTAATCTCCATACTGGTTTACGTAGTGGCTGCACCAATTTATATTCTACCAACAGTGCATGACGGTTTCTTTTTTTCCACATTCTCACCAACATTTGTTATTTCTTGTTCTTTTTTGATACTAGTCATTCTGACAGCGATGAGGTGAAATCTCACTGCGGTTTTGATATGCATTTCCCTGATTAGTGATGTTGAGCATTTTTTCATATGTCTATTGGCCTTCTATACGTCTTCTTTGGAAAAATGCCTATTCAGGTCCTCTGCCCATTTTAAAAATCAGATTGGTTTATTTGTGTTGAGTTGTAGGAGTTCTTTATATATTTTGGATATTAATCTCTTACTGGATATATCATTTGCAAATATCTTCTCCCATTTGCCTTTTTGTTTTGTTGATGATTTCCTTTACCGTAAAAAACTTTTTCGTTTGATGTAGTCCCAATTGTTTATTTTTGCTTTTATTGCCTTTGCCAGAGGAGACACATACCACAAAAATACTGCTAAGACTGATGTGCCAGAGTTTACGCCTGTTCTCTTTTGGAAGTTCTATGATTTCAGGTCTTACATTTAGGTCTTTAATCCACTTTGAGTTTATTCTTGCATGTAATGGAAAAAAGTGGTCCAGTTTCATTCTTTTGCATGTAGCTGTCCAGTTTCCCCAACACCAATTATTGAAAAGATTATATTTTCCCCATTGTATATTAATTGATCATATAAGTGTGTGTTTATTCCTGGGCTCTCTATTCTGTTCCATTGACCTATGTGTCTCTTTTTGTGCCAGTACCAAACTGTTCTGATAACCACAGCTTTGTGTGCAGTTTGAAATCAGGCAGCATGATACCTGCAGCTTTCTCAAGACTGTTTTGGCTATTCAGGGTCTTTTGTCATTGCATACAAATTTCAGATCATTTGTTCTAGTTCTTTGAAAAATACTATTGGAATTTTGATAGGAATTGTACTGAATATGGAGCTTGCTTTGGATAGCATAGACATCTTAACAATATTAATTCTTCCAATCCACAAACAGTGTATCTTTCCATTTATTTTTGTCATCTTCAGTTCTTGCATAAATGTCTTATAGTTTTCAGAATATAGGTCTTCTGCCTCCCTGGCTAAATTTATTCCTAGATATTTTTATTCAATTTTATTTTTATTCAATTATAAATAAGATCATTTTCTTAATTTCTCTTTCTGATAATTTGTTTTTATTGTATAGAAATGCAACAGATTTCTGTATATTCATTTTGTATCCTAATTTAGTAGTTGTAATAGTTTTTTGGTGAAGTCTTTATTTTGTATTTACAGTATAATGTGATCTACAAATGTTGACAGTTGTGCTTCTGTCTTACCAATGTGGATGTCTTTCCTTTCTTTTTCTTCTCTTATTGCTATAGCTGACATTTCCAGTACTATGTTGAATAAAAGTGGTGAGAGTAGGCATCTTTCTATTATTCCTGATCTTGGAGGAAAAGCTTTCAGCTTTCCACCATTGAGTATGATGCTAGTTGTGGGTTTGCCATATATGGCATTTCTTATGTTAAGGAATTTATTGAGAGTTTTCATCATAAGTGGATGTTGAATTTTGTCAAATGCTTTTTCTGCATCTATTGAGAAGATCATGATTTTTAGCCTTCATTTTGTTAATGTGGTATATCAAGTTAATTGATTTGCAAATACTGAATCATCCTTGCATCCCTGGAATAAATCTTATTTGATTGTGGAATATGATCCCTTTAATGTATTGCTGAATTTTTTTTTTGATAATATTTTGTTGAAAATTTTTGTATCTATGTTCTTCAGGGATATTGGCCTATACTTTCCTTTTTTGTACTGTCTTTTCTGGTTTTGGTATCAGGACAATGCTAGCCTCATAGAATGAATGTGAAAGCATTCCTTCCTCTAATTTTTCTTGAATAGTTTGAGAAGGATAGGTATAAACACTTCCTTAAATGTTTGGAAAAATTCACCTGTGAAGCCATCTGGTCCCTGAGTTTGGTTTATTGGGAGTTTTTTGGTTACTGATTCATTTTCATTACCAGTAATCAGTCTGTTCAGATTTCTATTTCTTCCTGATTCAGTTTTGGAAGATTATAAGGGTTTAGGATTTTATCTTTTTTTTTTTCTAGGTTGGCCAATTTCTTGGCAAACCTGTTTGTAGTAGATTTGGGGATGCTGTGCTTTTATTTCCATTTGTCTTCAAACAAAACTAATATTTAGTTAGCAGAATGTTGTTTAGCTTCCATGTATTTGTGTATTTTCTCCATTTTTTTCTTGGTATTTATTTCTAGTTTCATATCATTGTGATCACAAAAGATGCTTGATATGATTTCAATATTCTTAAATTTATTAAGATGTTTTTTGTGGTCTAACATGTGATTTTTCCTAGATAATGTTCTGTGTGCACTTGAGAAGAATGCATATTCTGCTGTTTTTGAATGGACTGTTCTGTATATACCCATTAGGTCCCTCTGGTCTAATGTGTTGTTTAAGGTTACTATTTACTTATTGACTTTCTGTCTGGATGATCCATCTATAGACGTAAGTGGAGTATTAAAGTGTCCTACTCCTATTGTATTGCTATCAATTTCTCCCTTGATGTCTGTTAATATCTGCTTTTTAAATTTAAGTGTTTCTAAGTTGGGTGCATAGATATTTATAATTGTTATATCCTCTTGTTGAATTGAACCCTTTATCATCATGTAGTGCCCTTCCTTTTGTCTTGTTACAGTGTTAATTTTAAAGTCTATTTTATCTGATATGATACCCCTGGTTTGTTTTTTTTTTTCATTTCCACTTGAATGGAGTATTTTTTTCTATCCTTTCACTTTCAATCTGTGTGTGTCTTTGGGTCTGAAGTGAGTCTCTTGTAGGCAGCATATAGATGGGTCTTTTTTTTTTTTAATTTTTTTAATGTTTCTTTAGTTTTGAGAGAGAGACAGGGAGACACAGCGTTTGAGTGGGGGAGGGGCAGAGAGAGAGACACATACACACACAGAATCTGAAGCACGCTCCAGGCTCTGAGCTGTCAGCATAGACCCTGATGTGGGGCTCGAACTCACAGACTTGAAATCATGACCTGAGCTGAAGTCACTTAACTGACTGAGCCACCCAGGTGCCCTGAAATGGGTCTTATTTTTCTTATCCATTCAGTCACCCTATGTCTTTTGATTGGAAGATCTAATCCATTTACATTTAAAGTATCAACTGATAGGTAGGTACTTAGTGCCATTTTGTTAACTGTTTTCTGGTTTGTATATGTAGTTCTTTTCTGTTCCTCTCTCGCTCTCTTCCTTTGTGATTTGATGATTTTCTTTAGTGTTATGTTTGGATCCCTTTTCCTTTATTTTTTTGTGAATCTATTGTAGGTTTTGGTTTGAGGTTTCCATGAGTTACATATATAACACCCTATGTATACAGCAGTCTATTTTAAGTTGATGGTCACTTAAGTTCAAACACATTCTAAAAGCCCTACATTTTTTATTCCCCTCTCCCCATGTTTTGTGTATTTGGTGCCATAATTTACATATTTTTATCTTGTATATCCCTTAGGTAATTATTGTAGATATAGTTGTTTTTTCTACTTTTGTCCTTTAACCTTCATACCAGCTTTATAAGTAGTTGATCCACTCTCTTTACTGTATGTTTGCTTTTACCAATGAGCCTTTTTCTTTCATAATTTTTTTTACCTCTATTTATGATGTTTTCTTTTCCATTTTAAGAAGTCCCTTTAACCTCTCTTGTAAGTCCAGTTTAGTGGTGATGAATTCCTTTAACTTTCATTTGTCTGGGAAACTCTTTATCTCTTTTCTTTAATTCTGAATGACAATCTTTCCAGGAAGTGTATTCTGGTTGTAGGTTTTTCTTTTCAGCACTTTGAGTATATCAGGCCTCTCCTTTCTGGCCTACAAAATTTCTGCTGAAAAATCAGCTCATGATCTTTTAGGCGTTACCTTGTAAGTAACCAGTTGCTTTACTCTTGCTGTTTTTAAGATTCTCTCATTACCTTTAATTTTTGACAATTTACTTACTCTCTGTTGGTGTGAACTTCTTTGGGTTCATCTTGTTTGGAGCTCTCTGTGCATCTTGCAGTTGGATGTTTGTTTCTTTCCCCAGGTTAGGGAAGTTTTCATTTATTATTTCTTCCTTTTGTCTTGTTACACTCTTTGCTTTAAAGTCTATTTTATAAGACTTCTGTTGATATTTATTGTCCAAGAGGTTCCTTAAACTATCCTCTTTTTCTTAACCTTTTTCTTTGTACTCTTCAGTTTGGATGACTTCCACTACCTTGTCTTCCAGATCGCTGACCTGTCTATATCCTTTAATCTGCCATTGTTCTCCCTAGTGTATATTTTTTTTCATTTCAGCTATTGAATTCTTAAGTTATGATTAGTTATTTTTTCTATTTTTCTATCTCTTTGTTGAATTTCTCATTGTTCAATGACTCTTCTTCTGAGTTCCATGAGCATCTTTATGACCATTACTTTGAATTCTTTATCAGGCAGATTGCTTATCTCTGTTTCGTTTGGTTCCTTCCTGAGGTTTTGTCTTATTTTATTTGGAACGTCCTCCTGTCTCCTTGTTAGGCCTGACTCACTGTGTGTGTTTCTATGTATTAGGTAGATCAGCTATGCCTCATGGTCTTGATGGAGTGGTCTCATATAGAAGGTGTCCGTTGGGCCTTAGAAGCACACTCCTCCTTTGTCACCAGAACCAGGTGCTCCAGGAGTGCCCTGTGTAGTCTCTTTGTGCCTTCTTATTGCTGGCATGCTTGTGAGTGGGGCTGGCTCCTGGCCCATTGGCTGCAATGACTGGCCACAACTGCTGTGGGCACACTGGTGGGCAGGACTGGCTCCTGACATGGCTGGCTGAGAGGCCTGGCTGTGGCGGCTGTGGGTGTGCTGGTGGGTGGGATAGCCCCTGGTGTGCCTGGCTATGAGGTCAGGCCAGGACTGTTGTAGGCATACTGATGGGTGGGCCTTGCCCCTTGTTCCTGTCAGGAGCCACTCTGGAAAGGCGCCAGTCCAGGCCAAAACTACTCGTTTGGTGTGTTGGGACAAGAGCTACTTTGGAGAACACCAGTCCTGGGCAAGGCCACCTGCAGGGTGTGGCAGGATGGGAGCTGTTTTGGGAGACACTGTTTAATGATCTTTTTAAAAGCATCTAATAGCTACCTACTTTAACATTCTTGATCAGAAACTCTGTTGTTTATTCTTTTTAATTTTTTAGATATAAATTAACCTAATAAAAATTGCATCTATTTATTTTAATCTGTATGGTAGTAGCTAATAAACCTACACTTTTAACTTTTTTCCAAATATTCCTAACATAAATTCTTTGATATGATAAACTATTCAAATTATCTAGTGTAAATTATACTTGGAAAAGCAATTTTTGCATACGAGGACCTACTATCTAAAAAGAAAGTCAAATTGAAATCTTTGTGAAAACCATAAAATTGATGAGGACAATTGATTGACAATTTTTTTTTTATTTTTTTATTTTTTAAAAAAAAATTTTTTTTTCAACGTTTTTATTTATTTTTGGGACAGAGAGAGACAGAGCATGAACGGGGGAGGGGCAGAGAGAGAGGGAGACACAGAATCGGAAACAGGCTCCAGGCTCTGAGCCATCAGCCCAGAGCCTGACGCGGGGCTCGAACTCACGGACCGCGAGATCGTGACCTGGCTGAAGTCAGACGCTTAACCGACTGCGCCACCCAGGCGCCCCGACAAATTTTAACTTATTCCTATGTGAGTAAAGATATTTGACATAATGTAAGGACAATAATCTCTGACTCTGTTTTAATGATTTAGAATATTCTTGGTTTAAGTTTCATACCTGTTTTATGTCTACTAGACAAAATAATGATTGTTATGCTAGACTTTTAATATATTTATTATATTTTAGTGACATTCTTTGATTCTGGCGTACTTGAATCTGGGGAAAAAACAAGCACTTTTATACACTATTTGCCCATATGTTTCCATTTGCTTTTAAGTTTTTGCATTATTTCCATATTTTTCCCTGTTGGGGCTTTAGAGAGACTAGAACATATTTGATAAAAACCTTATATATATTTTATAGATAAGTATGCCTCTATATGAGATGACTTGATTTAATCAGAATAATTCTAAAATCTTTTGTATTTCTAAAACAAAATATAACTTTCACTCATCTCCAAAGAGCCAGATCAAAGTACCAGAAGTAACTACGTAATGTGATCCTTCTGCTTTAGTATTTAAACATATTTTTTAATGTTTATTTATTTTTAGGAGAGAGAAAAAGAGACAGAGCATGAGCCGGGGGAGGGGCAGAGAGAGAGGGAGACACAGAATCCAAAGCAAGCTCCAGACTCTGAGCTGTTAGCACAGAGCCCAAAGCGGGGCTTGAACCCATGAACCATGAGATCATGACCTTAGCAAAGTCAGATGCTTAACCGACTGAGCCACCTAGGCACCCCTAGGATTTTTAAAATCTTATATGATATCATGTAGAAAATTGAAAATCAAACCAATTATATTTATTTCTATGAGTTAAACACTTTTATTCTACCTATTTAATTTACATATGTCCTTTAAGATTATTTTCATAAAATATGAATATAGAGATGGTCATTCAGATAATCAAAGCTACAATAGCTACTTTTCTTTTTTTTAACATATATTTTTAATGTTTATTTTTGAAAGAGAGAGAGAGTAGGGGAGGGGCAGAAAGAGAGGGAGACACAGAATCTGAAGCAGGCTCTAGGCTCGGAGCTGTCAGCACAGAGCCTGACGTGGGGCTTGAACCCACAAACTTGGAGATTGTGAGCTGAGCTGAAGTCAGATGCTCAACCAACTGAACCACCCAAGTTCCCCTATAATAACTTTTCAAAACAGAGTTTATAGTTAACCTTCAGATACTTAATTAGAAGACTATGGACCAGTGATCTTCAAAGGGTATTGGTTATAATAACTGATTAAGTTTTAAAGTCATTTGGTAACTATATGTAAATTACTATAAAAAAGTATACAGGTCAGATTTTTTTAATACTCAGAAATAAATCTGAATTTGATGATTTTTTAAACATTTTTTTACTATTTATTTACTTTTGAGAGAGAGAGAGAGAGTGAGCAGGGGAAAGGAAGAGAGAGAAGGAGACACAGAATCCAAAGCAGGCTCCAAGCTCTAAGCTGTTAGCACAAAACCCGATGCAGGACTCAGATCCATGGACTGTGAGATCAAGACCTGAGTCAAAGTCAGATGCTTAACCAACTGAGCCACCCAGGCGCCCCATGAATTTGATGATTGAAGAAATGTCTGCCCTAAAATATCTAGAGTATAGTATTTTGATAATCTCTGCAAAAGGTTGTTATAGTGCATTTCATGCTGAAAGTTAGATTTGGAAAGTCACCGTAATTAAACTATATATTATGCTAAGGATCTTGACTTGGATATAAATAGATTTTACATTTAGATAATACAACTATAAATAGTATGTGCCTACAAAACCATGTTATGAAACTAACAGAATAAAACTCCCTGAAAAGATGTGATTGGTCATATGAATCTATTATATTCATTGCATTTTATCTTGAAACATCAAAATAATTTTAGAAAAAGACCTACTGGTTCACCTCGAGGCCCAGGTGGTCCTAGCACTGTGCTATCTTCTCCTGGATAACCCTATAATGAAGATAATTATTTACAAACAAAATCAAATCAATAAAATAAACTTTGAAATATGTAGCTTATCATTGTCTCATATGTTATGACATCTACAATCTGGCTTTATCTTTTTTAAATGGAAAACTTTACCTATAAAACTTAGCACAGGATATTTTATACAGTTGTAATTCCTATATAGTTCTCAGAAGTGTCTATCAGCTTTAATTACATACAAAGCAGTTTAGGAATTTGTTCAAAGTTTCAGGTTTCCAGTGATATTGCAAATTAAGAGTAGTATTATTATAGTTATTCTTAACCCAGAACAATTTTACTATAAATTTCACTATAAACATACTGGTCATTTAATCTAGAGTCTCACAATATGTTTCAACAAGTAATTAATTTTAAGTTTACAAAGCTTTATAGATTACAAAGTACTTTACCATATATTATTTCATGAATATCTTGAAACAACCTATTGAAGACATTTTAATGACTTAAATTTTCATCTCTTGGTATTTACCTTCTAGAATTTGCAATTCTTCCCAAATTGAAAAGTGTTTTCTTTTATTCTTTGAAAATGTTTCCATGCACACTTTCAGAAAGAACACAAAAATTAAATATTTAACTTTAGGATTGCAAAGTCAATATACACACATACCTTTTCTCCTTTAGGTCCTGGCAGCCCAGAAAGGCCTGGCTGGCCCTGGTGGCCCTAACAAAAGGACAAGAAAGTAGACATTCTCTGTATCATTTGTGCATGTTCTACCTAATACCACCAAGGACATGCCATTAGATACTGCACTATTCTGAAAGAAAAACAAGATTCATTCTCTAGGGGGATGAAGCCTAAATGCAGTAGCAAGGTTTATCAGTGAGATTTCATCTTAATCTGCATAATTGGAATGACATCTTTATATAACCATTTTCATGCAAATACACACATTTTAATTTCCAATTAGAAATGATTACCCTATATCCTGGAATTCCTGGTTCTCCATCAGGTCCCATCAATCCTAAATGTCCCTAAAAAACAAAGTAAATATTAGAGAGAAAATAGCCAACTGCTTGAACCATTACACTTGTACTCTGATTACTCAAAAGTTAGAATTTCTGAAGTATAATATTTTACTTAGTCTGAAATGGGAAAACAAGAAATAACATTCTAACTTCTGTCTTATTTTTCTTCTGAACCACAAAAGTCCCACCAAAAAAAATGTCTCTTCAGTTTACTTCTGGATGAATATTCTTAATCATATTAAGAAAAATACTTTCAGTTGTCAGAACCCTATAGGTTTTCAGCAAGTTCTTGGAAATGTAATGTGTATCTGTCAAAGTTTATAGTATATATATATATTTTTAATGTTTACTTATTTTTGAGAGAGAGAGAGAGGACAGGGGAAGGGCAGAGAGAGAGAGAGGGAGACACAGAATCTGAAGCAGGTTCCAGGCTCTGAGCTGTCAGCACAGAGCCCGGCGCAGACCCCGAAATCACAAACCATGAGATCATGACCTAAGCTGAAGTCAGACGCTTAACGAAATGAGCCAGCCAGGTGCCCTTATATCTGGTCCAAGTTTATGGTAGATGTGCCTCACTGAATATTAGAGTATAGCCTGAAAGTTTTTGATATTATCATGATGGGATCATGGAGAACTCCATACTCATTGATAGTTTCAGATGCTTTGATGAAGAAAAGTTTCAGCTCTGGTCAAAGTTGTCAAAGGAGAAATAGTTGGCAACTTATGTGTGATAATCACTCTGTTATTGCTCTTATTATCAATATTTTGCAGATGAGGATACTACATAATTTAAGGGTTATTCATAAATGTCTCTAAAGTACTGAAAATGTGACTCAGACAACTGAAAAGAGCAAAAATAATAATCCTAAAAACGTCTTACCTTTCATACTACCAAAAATTTCCACACCAATTCTCCTATTTAAGTTTGAAACTAAATAGGAGATGAGAAAATTAAGGCACAGAATAGGTTCATGCCTAACCAAATATCAGATTAACCAGAAGCTCTAAATATGATTATTTACCCAAAGAACCCATGAGAACTACCTATCATTTAAGTGGATATAAAGTTAAAACATAAAAGTAAGTAGATTTCTTATACAGCACCAATAAAAAGATATAATGGAAAAAAGATTGCATCATAAATCATAAAGTCCATAAGAAACCAACAGTAAATCTAACAGGATAGAGGTAAGAACAGAATAAAGGAAATAACAAAACTTTATTAAAGGACATATAAGATGATGTAAGTAAATAGAAAGACATATACTGCTTCTCTACTGAAAGATTCAATGTTAAAGGAAAATGAAGAGCTGATTTTATTTTATTTTATTTTTTTTTAAATTTTTTTTTTTCAACGTTTATTTATTTTTGGGACAGAGAGAGACAGAGCATGAACGGGGGAGAGGCAGAGAGAGAGGGAGACACAGAATCGGAAACAGGCTCCAGGCTCTGAGCCATCAGCCCAGAGCCCGACGCGGGGCTCGAACTCACGGACCGCGAGATCGTGACCTGGCTGAAGTCGGACGCTTAACCGACTGCGCCACCCAGGCGCCCCGAAGAGCTGATTTTAAAGTTCACATGGAAGAGAGAATTAAAGTAAGAGCTGAACTTTTCAGAAAAATGAATTATGGAATACTTGCTCTTCTCAAAAGTACTGTAATAATATAACAATTAAATAGTGTGGTATTGAACCCCAAAATAGGCTAACAGATTGACAGAAGAAAACAGAGAGAATGAAAACAGGTCAATAAATATTTGAGAGTTTAGTTTAGTGGGATACAGAGTGACTATTTATTAAATGATTTTGAAACAACTGAAAATCTACTTGGAAAAAAGAAAATCAAGTTCTTTACAACTTATCTCACAGCAAAATAATAAACTTCATATGAGTTAGGAATAAAAATAAAGCTATAAAAGAATTAGAAGAAGGATATGGAAGAGTATTTTTATGTACTTTAGGTAGGGAAGGCATTTCTAATGAAGAAATAAAACCTGTAAAGTAAAAGAGTGACAAATTTGAGTATATAATAATTAAAATCTCCAGCAAAAAGATATCAAACAAACAACACTAAATGTTAAATGACAGAAAGAGAAATTGTATTTATAATACATTTTGTAACAAATTTAACAAAAATATATTATCTAAGGGACGCCTGGGTGGCTCAGTCGGTTAAGTGTCTGACTTGGGCTCAGGTCATGATCTCACGACTTGTGAGTTCAAGCCCTGCATTGGGCTCTGTGCTGACAGCGTGGAGCCTGGAGCCTGCTTCGGATTCTGTGTCTCCCTCTTTCTCTGCCCCTCCCCCATCATGCTCTGACTCTCTCTCTCTCTCTCTCTCTCAAAACTAAATAAACATCTAAAATATATAAAGAGTTATTACAGTTTAATAAGAAAAAGACAGCAACCTAATGTAAATCATGTAAAGTGAATATGTAAAGGCAATTTCCAGAGAAAAAAAATCACTTAATTGTAATCGGGGAGATATAAACAGAAAGAAAATGAGACACATGTTCTCATTTATCAGATTGTCAGACATCAAAAGGGTTAACATGAAGTATTGGTGGTGGGAGTGTATATTGGATGAAACCTTTTGGGGAGGCGGTTGGAGAACATGTGTCAATATTTTTAAAGTGAATATTCTCTTTCGACAAAATCCAAAGTAGGAACCTACTTTGAAGGCAATATTCTGGATTAGTTTCCATGTTTGTTAAAAATTAATCATATTAAATAAAGTTTTGTAACATACAAGCCCAAATCAGGAAAATATTAGTAATTTAAATCAAAGGAAGAAAGACCTGAAGTGGTAAGATGAATATGTCAAATGAGCCTGAGATAAACTTTCCTCAGACAACTGATGAATTATACAATGCTCTCAAGAAGGCTTTGGTGAAAAGTCTAGCATTTGTGACATTTAACGGAGACTAGGAAATACACATGCATTTTGTAGATAAGCTTATGAAATAGTGAAAACACTAAGTTTAATAATTCATGCATCTCTCATGCTGTGACTTTCTAAACAGGTCCAAATATATTAGCAATAACATTTTGCTATTATAGGTTCAGAAGTATTTATGCTACCCTTGTTTCCAACACTATATAAAGTTCATGCAAAAGATTAAATATTATTAGATGTTACAGATATTGATCAGAGCCGGTTTAAAAAAAAATCTCCATGAGCATGTAGAGTCCAAGCTTATAAAGAAAAATCATTTTTTTTTTCAACGTTTATTTATTTTTTGGGACAGAGAGAGACAGAGCATGAACGGGGGAGGGGCAGAGAGAGAGGGAGACACAGAATCGGAAACAGGCTCCAGGCTCTGAGCCATCAGCCCAGAGCCTGACGCGGGGCTCGAACTCACGGACCGCGAGATCGTGACCTGGCTGAAGTCGGACGCCTAACCGACTGTGCCACCCAGGCGCCCCAGAAAAATCATTTTTAAGTAAATCTAATTTTCAAAAGCAATATGCCAATCCTGACAGCATAGTTTCATACAGATATTAAATTCTTATTTTAAGGGCAAGGCATATAAACTTTCCCACTTAGGTTAAGAGTTATAATCTGAGTTTTTAAAACTTCATTTCATATTTTATTTCCATTTTGAGTTTTTTCCCCTTTCCCTTTTTCATGTCCAGAAACCACTAAGCCATTTAAGTACTGTGGAATGCTTACAATTCTCCACAGCTCATGGAGGTAGATTATTTTCAACGGAACTATTGCTTTCTCTGTAAAATTAATCAAGGGATGAAACTTTAAGGACATGGATACATTTCTTTTCCATCCACAGTGAACTCAGGTCTGGAAATAAATCAAATACTAACCACAGCACCTCTCGTTCCTCTGGCCCCCTTAGGACCACTTTCCCCAATTTGTCCGGGAGCACCTCTGCTTCCGATTTCTCCGGTGGGCCCTATTTGTCCTTTTTCACCCTGTGGATGTCGTTAGTAAGAGAGAAAAGTGGGAAAAGACAAATTTTTACCTAGATGAATTAACTATATCATATATCTGAATGACACCGGAGGATAGTCTGTAAGCAAAATTCCGTAAATAGTAACTTGGGTTTACCTAGCTGGTGGTAGAGACTGCCACTGACAATAATAACATACCATCACCACCTAGGTTATCTGAAAGATACAACTGAAAGTAATTTAGGAGAAAGAACATTAAAAAAAATAATTTTGGCCAAACAAGCAGGGGAGATCTGGTGTTCATGTTGAATTACCAATAACCAATTTTTTTTATTTTGAATTTGTTAGGTATGTATGCATGCATGCATGTATTTCCTGTTATCATGAGAAAACATAGACTGTATAAGAAACCTGCTTCTATACACAATTTCAATCCCACAAAGATCTATTTAATGTATACAGTTTCCAGTGTATGTTTCTGTATATTCAGTGGCTTGGAGTCTGCCTTTAAAAATCCATAACATATTTATATCATTTAACATCCTTCTGAAAACTAGTTATCTTCTGTTTTCCATCAAGCTGGCTGATCATTCTCTACCACCAAAATATGGCTGCTTTTAAACAACTTTAAGTGCTATAATTCATTTTCTGAAAATGGGAACCAATCTGTTCTGCTGTAGACAATAAAGTCGATACAAAGAAAAACTAGACTGTGATCATAGTCAGGAAGGAAGTTTTTGGTATTCATAATAATTCCCAGGGATGCAGGCTACTGTAAAGAATTATACTGTCCCACTTCTAATGTTGATTTTAGATATAACATCAAGTATGATGAAAAGAGACTTCAGTATTGGGGTTATTTTCATGGGTAAGAATGGCTACTAAAATTCACCACATTCATTTTTCTTTACTTCTTATTCTAACTAATCCTGTCTCTACATTATGACAAAGATAGGCTGGGTGTATGTTAGTAGAAATGATAAAATTAGACTTTGGGAACTAGATATGGTGTGATTTGAAGCTAATTATAGTCATATATTCAGAACTGTTGTATTTGAATAAGAAAATCATACTTGAACAAATTATTGGCCCCATACAGAGATGAATTTTTCATTATAATGTTCCAGAATTTTATACATTTTCATTTTAGTAAGATATAAAAGAAACATATAAACCATATTCTGGATGTGTGTTTCTAAGTCAATATATGGGAAAGATAAAATAATTAACCTTTTCAATTTAGATAAACATAGTACTAATAAACCCAGAAACAATCTCAATCATAATCTTTTCCCCTAAACATTTTACTAAAGTTGTTACTAATACACAAATGGTGTAGTATTTTCCTTTTCTCTCTTTTCCTGCCCAAAGTCTACTGAAGAATTTTTGGCAAACAGGAGAAGAAAAGGCAAATATCTTCACAGAAACTACAGAGTGAGACAGTTGCCTTCAAATAATTAAGGCAATAAATACTCCTAAGTAGAGTTAAATATTAATTTATATAAATGTGCCTTTTAAAACCAAATTTATATTTCTTTATTACCATATATCTCATGCAAATAAAAATATCACAGCATTCTATGGAGCTCAGAGCACATCAGAAGAAAGGAAGCCTTAAAAAGATGTAAAAAAAAAAAAAATTACCTTTTTGCCTGGGCGACCTCTTTGCCCTGGAATTCCCACAATTCCTTCAGATCCCTGAATGTCCAATATAAAAAAGAAAATAAATTGTTAAAGAAAGGACTAGATGGCATATTTAAATACTTACATCACATAATCACTGAATTGAACATTATGTAAAAATGACGGTTACTTTTCAACAATATTGTGTTTGCATAATTATCTAAAAATAGGTCATGATGATTTAGCGGTCTGTTACTAATGAGTAAAATTTACATAGACAAACTGGTCAAGATAGACAAAATTAAACTGTTCTTTATTATAGGAAGAAAATTATTTGGTTTCATCACCATTTTAATTAGTGAGACTGTAATTAAACTAAACCCAATGCATCCATTTTAATTTTAGCAGTTCTATGAGCTACTACTGTGGGTTCAACATCTTGTTGAATGTATAGGATTATAAAATATATATATAAAACATGGTGAAGAAGAATCTCAAGATCTTATTGGAGTAGTAGATTAAGGAGGTTTTCTTTGGTCTGTGGAAAAAAGGAGAGAGGGAAATAGACGGAGAAAAAAGAAGTAGTCATATTCAACTTTAAAACAGTATTCTCATTTTAATCTGTATTTTATTCAGACAAAGTAGACTGAAAGTTTTCAATACATACTTTTTTTTTTGTAAAATTGGCTAAAATATTTTAGATGTCATGTGAATTTGCAGGTCAACAATAATTAGGCTTAAATGAGATCCACAGTAAGCCAGGGTGCAAGTTCTGAAACGGCCAACAATTAATCACAGCACTCCTTGCATTAGTTTGGAAATGAAAATGGAAACCTCAAATTTGTGTCCCAAAGCTTGGCAAACTGCAAAAATGATGTAGACAAGAAATAAATTGTGGTTTACCACTGTGCTATGGAGGCTCTTGATAAATATTTGTTGAACGAATAAACAGATACCTAAGGAAGTGACTCATGCCCTATGCTCCTCAGTAAATGCTCTTCTAGCCTCAGAAAGTCACTGAATTTAGAAGCCAAAATGGTTAAGTTCTATTGCTGTAGTTCTAGCTGCATCCAGAGGTCAAAATGATAGTTGCACTAACCTGAGATTTCTTTGCGGTTAATATGGACTTTTAAAAAGAGGCAGATTAACTTTCATTAGAGGGTAATGGTGTGAGCTTTTAAAAGTCAGACTGCTAGTTTCATAGTCTGGCTCTGGTCACCTCACAGCAATATGACCATAGGTAGATTGTTTAACTTCTAAAGGCCTCAGTTTCCTGTTCTATAAAAGAAGTACAATACCTCTTCAAAGAGTTATTAAGATTAAATGAGATAGTGCATGTAAAGCTAAAAAGAACCGGACTTTAAACTGAAGAATTTAGCTCAGTGTTAGTTCTCACTAACGTCCGCTGCCTTTTTCAAGTGTATTATATAACATTTGAATGTATATAAAAAGATATTAGAAGGTACAATAAATACCCATGCACCCACCACCCACTGTAAGAAAGAGAAGATACATATGTTAATTGAAGTCCCATATGCACACATACCTTTCCAAACACATTACCCTCTCCCCTCACTCAGGTGCAACCATTGCCCTCAATTTATCATTCCCAAGCATTTCTTTATACCTTTACTCCATTTGTATGTATCTCCAAGCAGTATGTGGTGATGTTGCATGTTTTCAAACTTTAACTAAGCATACTTAATGCATTCTTTGGAAACTTTTTTAACACACATTTTGCTTTTGAAATTAATCAGTGTCTTTAATCTACTCACTTTCTGTTTTTCATCCTACGGGATTCTATTTTCTTATCAAACCACAGCTAATTTAACCACTTTTTTACTGATGAATTTTGGTGTTTTTTTTTTTTTTTGTCCTGTTACAGATAATGCTTGTGAACTCATCTATGTGCCATGTTAAAGGTGGTTGTTTTGTTTTGTTTTTGTTTTTATGGAATAGTCCCGGAAGTTAAACTGCTGGGTTGTAGAATATGTACATCTTTAGGTATACAAGAAAATGTAAAATTATTCTCCAAAGTAGTTTTTTTCAATTTCCATTCCCATAGCAATGTTTCAGAGTCCAATTACTTCAAATCTTCTGTAAAGCTTGGTACTATCAGACTTCAAATATGTCCATTTCATTGTGGTAAATGATATTTTATTTGTGTTTTCAATTTGCATATTTCTGATTATTAAGGAGGAATGATTATCTATTCACACCGTTATTTCACATCTATATGTGATTCTGCTCAATATTCCCCTGAGCTGGACTTACTGAGTTATCCATAAAAGTTTTTACATATATTCCTGATACCTGTATTTTGCTCATTCTATATAACACAGATCTCTTCTCAGCCTGCAGCATATTTTTTCACTTTGTTTAATATAACTTCTGATTAACATAAGTTTGTGATTTTAACAGAGTCATATTCATCAGTATTTTCTTCTTGTCTTACTTCTTTTCAGTGTTTAGGAGATCCTGACTGCTTCCCCTCCCTTCATGAGGTCATAAAATGTTCTTGTAAATGTTCTCATGCTTAACATTTTGATTTTCACAATTAGGCCTTTAATTGGAATTTCATTCTTTTGTGTGCGTGTGTGCACTGGTTTGAAGGAGTTGTTTTATTTTATTTTGTTTTCCATTTGGATAACCAATTAGGCCAGTACCATTTATTGAATATTTCATCCTTTCCTTAATGATTTGCAATCTGTGATCAATGTATTAAACTTCATGTTTCAAAATATACTAAGCTCTGAGTCAAGGTTACCTTCTATTTCCACTGGTCTCTTTGTCTTCTGTGAATGAACATGACACTGATTAAATTACTCTAGCTTCAATCATAAGTTACGGTATCAGGTAGGGTAAGTTCTCCCTTCCACACACCACTCTGCCCCAACCCTTGTAAGTTGTTCTTGAAAATTGTTTTGATATTGGTCCTTTGTTCTTTCATATGAATTTTAAAATCACTTTTCATTAATCAGGTCCTATAAAAAAAGTCTTATAGGGATTTTGACTAAAATTGTATTGAATTTATAGACTAATTTAGGGGAGAATTGATAATTTTTTTGATATTGAGTCCTCCTATCCATGAATATAAAATATCTCTCCATTTATTTAGGTCTTTGTTAATAAACATAATTTTTTGACAAAAATCTGCAAATCTTTTGTTAGGTTTATTTCTAGTTGTTTAATTTTGTTGATGATTATATTATAAATAGTTTTTTTTTTTGTTTATTTATTTATTGAGAGAGAGGGAGAGAGCAAGCAGGGGAGGGGCAGAGAGAAAGGGAGAGAGAGAATCCCAAACAGGCTCCATGCTGTCAGTGCAGAGCCCGATACAGGGCTCAATCCCATGAACTGTGAGATCATGACATGAGCTGAAATTAAGAATTGGATGCTCAACCTACTGAGCCACTCAGGCGCCCCCAGTAAATATTATTTAAGGTTTTCTAAACTGCTTGTGGCTGGTGAAGAAGAATGGAATCTATTTTTGTATATTCTTATATTTAGCATCTTGCTAAAATCTCCTTAATTCTAATAATTTGTCTGTAGATTATTTCTCTTGTACCATACTGGCTGGGTTTCTGAGTAAATGTTGGATAGAAATGGTGAATAGTGGTGATCTTTGCTCATTCTTTGAAGTTTCACCATTAAGTATGATAGTCAACGTGGATATTATATTTTACTAAATGCTTTTTGTTTCATTTATTGAGATCATATTTTTAATTCTTTAATTTGTAAATATGTGACTTAAATGTATAATTTTAAAAAATGTTAGGCCTTTGTTGCAATACTTGCACAAGAGGGAATTCACTGACACCTTTATTATATCAGCACCTCACAATGAGGTGCAATGAATTCAACTATTCAGGTGTCATCCAACACTACTGCATGGCAATGTTATCTGCCAACCACCATGCAGTTTAGACATCACTGTAAGTGTTTATATATTTAAATACCAACAAAAACTTGTGGAGAATATAAAAATTAAAGTGATAGGCCTCTCACAAACGTGTATAATTGAGAAATTTGTCATTAGTCTGTAAGAGGACTTACACATTCTTCAAACTTCCATTTTCGCCTCAGTGTCAAGTGAATGACCTTGCCTTATACTGCACTGAGACAGAGTAGCAATCAAACAAGAGCCACCTCCTCTTTCCCACACCCGATCTACCGACATACCTCCTTATGCACACACATATTCCGCCTCCCTTCTCTTACAAAGGAAGAAGTTTCTCTGTTGCTTGTCTGAAGCCAGTGCCTCACTTGTATCTAAAGCCCATGTTCCCTTCATGGCCTTCTCTTAACACTTGCACTATCATTTTTTTCCTCTTGACTACATCATTTCCGACAGCAATTAAATAAGCTAGATAGCACTCATTAAAAAACAAAAACAAAACCCTTCCTTGACCTCGTGTCCCTCCCTCCCTTCCTTTCTATTCACTCATTCAATGTTTCATGTACTTTTCTAGTTCAATCTTTACTTCCCCATCACAGCAGAACTTTTTGAAAGACCTGTTTATGCTCATTGCCACTATTTTCTTACTTCTCATTCCCTCTTCATTTGGGCTTTTGTTCTTACCACAGCTCTGAAATTGCTTCCCTTTCAGGTCACCATGTAACCTTCATAAAGCTAAATCCAATAATCCAATGGCTCATTTTATCTCAACCTTTTTTCATTCTTGAAAAATTTTAAGGTTTTGTTTATATGGCAGCATGCTTCCTGAATTTTTGGCTTCCTTATATAACACCTCCTTATATTCTAATGATTCCTAAAATTATGTCACCTGTCCTGACTGTATCATTGACCTTCTGGTTATCCTACCTACTGACATCTTTTTGAATTTCTAATAGGGATTTCAAACTTTATGTGCCTCAAACTGAACCCTTGAATTATCCCCTCAAATCCCTAAATCTTGTCTCTTTCTTGTCTTCTCCAACTCTGCTATAATGTGGCAGTATTTTTAAAATTATCAAAATTGCTTTTCAATTTTGCCTTTTTGAATATATGGACTTTACCCTATTCATAGCTTGAGGGGGTCATATGCCCAAGGGTTATATGTACTAAGAAAATT